TATGCTCTTCGAAATTGAATTTTCTTCTATCGCGTTCATCACTTGGAAACACTGACAGAACGGAAGGCAGCTATTTTGAGATTTAGCGCGCTGGCTATAAATAAACGGTATATAAACGATCAACAAATCAAGTTCAACTTTGAATGGTGTAGAAACTTTGCTTGACAGGTTGACGTCTCATGAGCCAATCCGACACGAGCGTAACACAACACCGATCACAAACCGCTCTCTATTTGCCCTGCTTTTCTGGCCTCATAAGAAATGCATACAAATAAAGTAGTTGGATAACAAATAATTTAAAAAATAAATTGCTTAATATCTATATTTTGCGCTCTGGTTCGTAAATCGTATTAAGATTCAGCGATACAACAAAAACGTTAGAGAGGACATATTTATTCCATCATCGACGTCATATTTTCATAATTATCTGTAGGTGGAGCCGCGTGCTGCCTTTCAGGACTAAAAGCAGAAACAAAGTATTTTCATTCTTAGCTACGTAATTCTTTCTGTCTGTATGCCTCAATTAAATTGGTATCCGCAGTTTGTTATTAAGGTTGACTTAAGAGGTAAAAACACCCTCTAAAAGCTCAAATGACAGAATGGTCACTTTTTACAAAATACTACAGAAGAGGAAAAAAAAAAGATCAAATGATAAATGGCTGTTTTGTGAATGTTTCCGAGGAAGTGATGAACGCTATAGAAGATAATTAAATTCCTTTGTTGATTTATGATTTATTACATTTAATTGTGATAATATTGTTTGTCTAAAGCTTTAACGGGTGCGTTACTCGAGGTTTTGTATCGTAATTCTTGCTCCTTCTGACCCTATAATAGTAGTAAAACCGACTAATTTTTTATGGGTTCCATCAAGCAAGTTATTTGGTATATTATTATTGCATTTAGGTCTGTCGCTGAGCGGTAGCAATAAAGTGAATCATCGGTTTATCACGTCAAGCATTGCAAAATGTATCAAATGATATTTTAATAGATATGTCTAATGAAATAGAACGACATTCGGCAAATCGCTGGCTAGTTGACGACTGACTATCTGCTAAATGGCGACAGACCATCGTTCAATGGTCCACCGACAATTAAACTTCACGTTACTTCGAAGAATATATCAACCACATTAATGAGAGGAAAGTGATCCGACGGGTATAAAGCCATTAACGCTAAAAAATGTTCATCTTTTAAGAATTTCAAAGAAGTTTCCAAATATAACTTTGGATGAAGGTTGATAATTGTAAGTGATACTATTATTATTATTATCATAACTATTATCGTTATTATCATTATTATACATCATCATTATCAATACCGTTTTCGTTGCTATTATGATTTTCCAAACTAATTATTCTCTGAAGAAGTGGATATTTAAGTAGACAAAATGCTGTTCAGTTATACTAAACCTGTCTCTGTTTCGCAGATTTTGTGCCTTCTTGCGACAGTAAGAAAACGACGAATTCCAGGCTATAAACCATGTTTGCCTCCCTGGTTCTGTCGCTTTGCGTGACACTCGCATTTTCTGAAGCAAAAATAGCTTCCAAAGGTGAATCAAACGGGCTCAAAGAAGCGAAATCCGAGGGGCTTGGAAAAATAGTTTTCCCACCGAACATAAACTTGCTGGACGACTTTCAACAAAAGGAGAACATCATCTTTGATCCACTTCCATCAGAATGCTTAAAAAAGATTAGTACAACAAAGTCAAGCTGCAATTTCGATTACTATAAAAATACCGAGGCATTTTATAAGTCACTTGCCATCGAGTCAAGCCTCAGCGCATCGTTAATCTCTATCTTTACATTGGGCGCTACTGTATCAGTGGCAACAAAGGGAAAAAGCTCAGAGAAAAGACAAGTGAGTGGCATATCTTTGATCAAGCAGGCGTTGGCAGAAAAGATGTACGTCGATAAAAATTGCCTCACAAATGCCAAAAAGTCCACCCTGAATAAAGAATTCATGGAATTCTTTAGTACATTGCCATTGAAAATTAAGGAACCCTGGCTCCACAATTCTTGGGAAGCATACAGCACTTTCCTGGAGACATATGGCTCTCATGTCATAATGTCTGTGGAGACCGGATCGAAGTTCCAGCAAATGGTGCTCGCAGAGAGTTCTGAATCGTATAGCAAGAGAGATTTCCAGGTAAGAGCCTGTATCTCGGCTGCAGGTCCCACAGATGTTGGAGAACTTGGTCTTTCGGCTTGTTCTAATGTGACAAACAGTGAAATATCCAACGCAAGAAAGATGACTGTTAGCGAGACAAGGTTTGTCAGGGGAGGACTGAGGGATACAAATAGCGCTTTGACGAATGGAAAGAAGTCGGCTGAACTGATAAATAAACTCATGAATGAAGCTGATGAGGCACCTAAGCCTGTCCAGCATACTTTCATGACGATCTGGAGCATATTAAAAGGCCGCTTTAAATCAGGATCTAAGAATTATCACCGAGCAACAAACCTCCAGTACTACTACAGTGGATTCTTGGATTTTGGTTGTCCTTACAGTACAAGTGGTAATGTTGAAATTCAAAAGTTCGACTACAAACAGCCAATGAAAGAAAATCCAGAATTCGTATGTACTCTCGCTCACGATGGTTGCCATAATGATGACGATTGTCATTACGTAATTGGCGTCAAATGTGCTTGCAAAGGAAAAACGTGCGTTCGCTACCATTCGGAAAAACAAATAACAGGTCAAATCAAACAAATGGCATACATCAACAACCACAACTGGATGTGGGAAGGATGCGGTTGGAAAAAGTTGTGGATTAAGTGTGGTTGCTACAATAAAGATCGCAATGAACGGAAGGTTGTGTGGTCCTTACCAATTACGTCCAAAGATGCTGGTAAACATAAAGTACCTAGCAACGCAACCTACGACGAGGCAAAGGATCCTGTTACAGGTCAAGCGAGAGGGATGCCAACACCTTACACAGCTGAAGATGCCGCTAAGCACTCAACACCCGGCAAAACCAAGCACCACGCAGCAAAACATCCAATTCCAATTCAACGGGAGGAAGAAGAAGAGGAAATGTGATCTTTTCCTATCTTACATGTAATCACTAAAATGACAAGCACCTAATTAAACGGAAATAAAAACTGGAGTAATCCAACAGTTGGCCATTCGACCAGAGTTGGACAGCTGTACTTGAAACATTTCTCGATCAGTTACTTGGAATGTTGAAATGTAAGTCCAGTTAAAATGTTAAAATAAAAAAGAGTGCATCCACCAGAGTTAAACTTATTCTTAATGAGGGGAAAGGGGAAAGAATACATTTAGCAAAAATTTCTCAAAAGATAAAACTGTTGCTGGCTAGCCTAATTTCTGTGTTTACTTCAATATCTGGAGAAAAATGACTTGACAAACTGTCTCGTTGAGCGACCCCGGTGATAAATTAGAATCACAGACGTGTTTGGTAAATGTCATCCCAAATAAAAAATTAGCTATACCAGTGATGCTACAAGGGCAGAGCTGCTTTTTACCACTCCTCGGTAAAGCCAAGGTAATGGTCATGGATTACACAACATTTTCGGTCCTATTCAAATGGCAAGACGGGGTCAGAAAATGAAGCCAAATAAAGCACGAGCGATGAGCAGGGCTGTAGGGATAGCTCGTTTATATTATAAAAAACGCAGCAACAATTTGCTTTTATTGATCAAATCAACTAAAGTGAAAGACCATTAATGGTGAAAAAACGGTTGCGGATTGGTTTGCTGTAGTTTTCTTAAATTAAAAATACGGTCGATGTTATCGATCATGATTGTTGGCTTGGATAAACCGTGATAAATTTAAGGAGGCCTCATCATAGGTTGAAGTCTTATTCTTTAATTGCACCCATCGATGCCTTTTCATTGGCGCCCGATTTGGGTCTGCTGGCAGGCTGACAATCCGTGAAGTTTGAGTTCGCGTAGTGTCACTTAATATGACAAGGTTAATGATCTCTCAATCCTCAAGGACTGATGTTTGGTTTAATTCATTGGATCAAAAAATTGTTCCATAGAAAAGTGCAATTTGTCACCTCTGATCCCTTTTAATAACAGTCTGATAAATCAAGTTCACCCACCGTTCATTTGGCGGATTTAGTTTCCTCCTCTTTACCGACGTCCCTTTAAATAGAACAAAATTTACGCCACCATCCAAAATTATTCTCTGGTTTCCTTCCATTTCAGAGAAATTACCAGAGCCTTTTGATCGTTACTTCACTGGAAAATGGATCAAGTCTTAACTAAGTGTTAATTGTCCAAAATACAATTCCTGTCTTATTTCAATGCACATGCGGTGTAACAATTGCATAAATTGGAAGTTCCCCAGTGTTCAAAGCAAACCCAGATGCTTACATTCTAACTCAATAGTGCTTCTACCATCATTGATATGCTCCGGCCTACCACTGACAATTGGCAATTGGTAAATGACACTTCCCCGAGATTGAACACTAGCTTACTTGCATGATTACCATCAGGATAACTAACGTATAGGAAGTAAAGGAATAACGTTTAGTCAATTGATATTGGAGCATTCATCTCATTTATTTTAAATTTCCGTGGCCTTTGATTCCTAGATTCATTCTTTCACTGGCAGTTTTCTCTTTCTGCTTTTTCTGTGTGTTCTACATAAATTTAGCCTGCAAAGCAAGCGTAATTTTGGCAACCGAGTGCTCAGTATTCCCTTAAACGAAAATCGTGATCTTTTATTTTAATGACAGCGGAAGGCTGGAGAGAAAAAGAAATTTGTACCAAGGGGGCGGTCGTGGGTCAAAAATAAACAGAGGGGTAGGGATGGGAAGTGAAGATTACGCCTTCCCGAAGTCACTGTTATTTTGCAAAACTCTGTTTGCCCAGGAACGGAGTTCCTTATTGGTCCTGTTAAGCTCCAGCTGTCAATCCTAAGCCAAATGCGTCATGAACTCGTATTTGCGTCAGCAGAGAACGTTTTGGTTAAGCCAATTCTTTTTCGTTGATGAAAAAACAGCCTCCGTCTAATCTAACTCCAAGTGAAACATGGCTGGTCGTATAGACGATCGCGAGCTTATAACGTTAGTGCTCTAATAGGACACCTTCCCTGCAGGCTAACATAAAGTTAAAAGTAAACATCTTCGGTTACTTAAAATAATTCTCAAACTTTGTGCTGAACTAATCAAATATTTTGGACAATTGAAACAAAAGTAGAGTTCCTCTCAACTGGTAGCTAGTAAATAAACTTGAAAATCAAAGTTGTTAAAAATAGCGCGCAAAATAAATTCATAAGGTTTTCCCGGTCAAAGAGAACGATGAACTGGTGTAGGTTTGTTCTCACCATGAAACATTTTAACCTATTATCTCCGTACATCTAACTCTCCCTTTGACCTGTCACTTCTAAATTAAGCTTTGTTTGTGATATGTAAAAGCCTACCAAATCGAAACATTACAGATACTACAGTTTATTGGAAAAGTCAACTCCGTTAGGAAAGAATAAGGGAAACTTTCTAAAACTGATCCCGGCTTTGGTCTATTTAAGTGTTTATTTGTTATACTGTTACTCTTTATCACTCTCCAGTTTCATTAAGCTGTCTCAAAGTTTGTGAACTAAAAGGAATCTTTAAAATTGGCAATGCAGTTTTTTAAAAATAAGCTGGTTGATTTTCCCTCATACAAGTTTTTCCCTTCAATTTTTTTCTTCATGTTTTGATAGCAATTCGTTTATGTTCTGAGGAGACGGTCTATTCCAACCTTTGTTTGTGCGGATCCGCTAATCGGTCTTCAAGTTTAGATAAAGCTTATATTATCATTCTTATTTTTATAATCCTCGTTATCATTGTTAGTATCATCATCATCTTTGAGACAATCATCATTAGAATCATCGTAATATGCATAGATTGAATAACATTCCCTGTTACCAAAACAGGGGAGGGTATAATATTCTTCTCTAACTTAGATTTATTTTCTATTTAAGCTAAAAGTCTCCTCGAATAGGACCGATATGGTGAAATTAGTCAAGTTGGTAACAGGTTGGCCCCTTGGGGTGAAATCCATCAACTTAATGGAGTACAGATGCGTACCTGTTCGCTTTCCTTAAATCATTTCATGTTACTAAGTTTGAAACGCTTTTGGCAGATATCAATTAATAGTTCACTTTGAAGACTAAAAGGGTATAACGCAGGCCAGGGGAACACTACAGAACTTACTCATACGCGTCGATAAACAAATAGAGTTTGGTTTTTACTATTAGACCTTTTAACACCTGAGCTGTCTACACGTAAATATTATGTGACATATGACTTCCAAATTAAGCTAAGTTCTATTTTTAAGGCCAAACATATCTCATATCAACCACAGTTTACAGATTCTAACAGACAAAGGAAGAACTGGAAGAATCGACCCCCATAATGTGAGTAGATAACAACGCTACGAGAGAGATGTTAAACAACAACTAAATCACTTTGCTATACTTTCAAGTAACTAAGTTATCTGTGGTAAGGTCGTGGATAAACTGTGCAGGGTTTCACTTGTTGTTCACATGAAAGATCCTAAAAATCAACTAAATTATGCTGCCATATTTTAAAGTAACTAAGTTTCACTTGTTGTTCATATTGGTTGTTTTGCCGAATCAAGTCTCAGGTTACTAAGTAAACTTGACATTGAAATCTTACCCTCCAGTCACTTGTTCAAATTTCGATTACTGGGTACATGTCAGGTAAAAATTTGCCATCATCCTAACTAGGGTCGTCCCCGATTGATCCGCCAAGTTCAACAATCTCTTCGCCATTGTAATAAGATGCGTGCCCACTTCAGACACCTAAGGCAGTGCTTACGCACGTATAATTGCTCAGGTGCTTTCGAACTCTGAATTCTGTAAATAAAGAAAGCATTGCGCTTATTTTCTTACAACTCTGTTGATTACTCGTGTCAAGATAAGCAAGCAGTTTTAACAGGTTTCTTGAATTCAATCAGCAAAAACTGCATATGTTTCTTTCGAAAAGTGTTCCACCGAACTTAGAGACATCTTTTATGCTCTTCGCAATTGAATTTTCTTCTATCTCGTTCATCACTTGGAAACTTTGACAAAACGGAAGGCAGCTATTTTGAGATTTAGCGCGCCGGCTATAAATAAACGGTATATAAACGATTTACCACTTTTGTTTTGGCTGCGGTAATAAACTTAGTGACAACGTTCCGTCAGGAAAAGTCCCCAATTATCGGACGAGGTTGAGAGTTAAAATAATCCAAATGCGCCAAGTAGGTACAAATTAATGAATCGAGTACAGATATTCAAGTTTTATGATTAAATATAAATATGGTTATTTTGTACTGTGAAAAAAAAAGACCTGTTTAACTATGCTTACGTTCAACTTGTATCAGAGTAAAGAAAATGGACTGTACCACTGTTCTTGTTTCACAGCCTTCTGCTCCTCAACTACCGGCAGCAATACCTGCGATGCGTTGTCGCCACGTTGATTAAGTCGTATGATAAAACTGAGTGGCAGTTTTGAAGTTCTGTCCGACACCTTTGGTGTATGTTTCGTCAGATGTATGTTTCGTCATTAATAATTTGTTCATGCTAAGCGTGCGTACATCGAGTTATGGATGCACGCGGAAAGTTTGGAGAGCACGAAAAATGCGTAAGAGTAGCTCGAGACGCAGCCGAGAGCAACTCTAGCTTTCTGAGTGCTCTCCAAACTTCCCAAGTGCATTCATAACACGATATGCGCACAGCTAAAAGCACGAGCAAATTCTTTTATAACAGAGCGACAACAAGGATCTGCGCGAAGAAGCCTTTTATTGAAAATTCTCACTACGCACCAAAAAGTAAAAAAACGTCCCTATTGGCGGGTCAAAAACACGCTACATTTTATACTTTGGTTTGACCGATAACTGTGAATGAAAAGCTCAAAATTTACGGGGAAAATGGAGAAAATAAAAGCCAGATGAATTCAAGTGTCACTAAAAAATGTTTTAAAAGTCAAAGACCCGAAGTTATCAAGGGTTTTGATTGTTCAAAATAATGTTTACGCTTCCGACAAGTTTGCGAAACGTGCAACTTGCGAGTTTTTTCGGCTTTATTTTTGTTGTTACTTGTTGGATCAGGACCTAAAAGGTCAAAGCCGATAGAAAATTTGGGAAGTTCTTCGCTGGTTTCTTCCAAATTTCAAAGAGAAGGGAAACTGCACTGCAGCTTAACAGGACGAAAACTCTGAAGCCATGTCAAAAAAATGCTAACGTCATATTATTTACGCACGGGCGTGCATAAATAAAGATTTTGTTCATAGCGGCTCAATAAATAAGACTTACATAGTGCAAGCACGCGCACTATGTTATAATCCATGTTTTTAAGAGCTAGTCTTTCGACAAATCGAAAGTTTTTGTTACTTGCAATACATAATTCTCAAACAGTTTTCATAGATAAACAAATCGCTTTTGTATGAGCAGTACTTTCAAGGGTGTGCGTTTTGAGCACAACGATCATAAATCAAATTCAACTTTGAATGGTTCAGAAACCTTGCTTGACAGGTTGACGTCTCATGAGCCAATCCGACGCGAGCGTAACACAACACCGATCACAAACCACTCTCTATTTGCCTTGTTTTTCCGGCCTTATAAGAAATGCATACAAATAAAGTAGTTGGATAACAAATAATTTATAAAATAAATTGTTTGATATCTATATTTTGCGCTCTGGTTCGTAAATCGTATTAAGATTCAGCGATACAACAAAAACGTGTGATAGGACATATTTATTCCATCATCGACGTCATATTTTCATAATTACCTTCAGTAGGTGGAGCCGCGTGCTGCCTTTCAGGACTGAAAGCAGAAACAAAGTATTTTTATTCTTAGCTACGTAATTCTGTATGCCTCAATTAAATTGGTATCCGCAGTTTGTTATTAATGGTTGACTTAAAAGGTAAAAACACCTTCTAAAAGCTCAAATGACGGATTGGTCACTTTTTACAAAATAGTAATGATACAACTACACACGAGCAGACTATTTCCCACAAAACGCAGTTACACGGTAATACTCTTGGCCCGAGGAGATCTTTACTTTTGCAAAGTTATTTGAAGGATTCTCTGGTAGGCTCTTGGCCAAAGAAAAGGAAAAAAAAAACAGATCAAATGATAAATGGCTGCCTTGCGTTTTGTGAATGTTTCCGAGGAAGTGATGAACGCGATAGAAGATAATTAAATTCCTTTGTTGATTTATGATTTATTACATTTAATTGTGATAATATTGTTTGTCTAAAGCTTTAAAGGGTGGGTTACTCGAGGTTTTGCATCATAATTCTTGCTCCTTCTGACCCTATAACAGTCGTTAAACCAATTAATTTTTAATGGGTTCCATCAATCAAGTTATTTGGTAGATTATTATTGCATTTAGGTCTGTCTCTGAGCGGTGGTAGTAAAGTGGATCATCGGTATATCACATCGAGCATTGCAAAATGTATCAAATGATATTTTAATAGATATGTCCAATAAAATAGAAGGACATTCGGCTAATCGTTGGCTAGTTGACGAAAGACTATCTGTTAAATGGCGATAGACCATCGATCAACAGTCCACCGACAATTACACATCGTGTTACTTCGAAGAATATATCAACCACATTAACAAGAAAAAAAGGATCCGACGGGTATAAAGCCATTGACGCTTAAAAATGTTCATTTCTTAAGAATTTCAAAGAGGTTTTCAAATATAACTTCGGATGAAGGTTGATAATTGTAAGTGATACTATTATTATTATTATCATGACTATTATCGTTATTATCATTATTATACATCATCATTATCAATATCATTTTCGTTGCTATTATGGTTTTCCAAACTAATTATTTTCTGAAGAAGTGGATATTTAAGTAGAAAAAATGCTGTTCGGTTAATCTAAAGCTGTCTCTGTTTCGCAGATTTTGTGCCTTCTTGCGACAGTAAGAAAACGACGAATTCCAAGCTATAAACCACGTTTGCCTCCCTGGTTCTGTCGCTTTGCGTGACATCGCATTTTCTGAAGCAAAAATAGCTATCAAAGGTGAATCAAACAGGCTTAAAGAAGCGAAAAAAGCTACCAAAGGTGAATCCGAGGGGCTTGGAAAAATACTTTTCCCACCGAACATAAACTTGCTGGACGACTTTCAAGAAAAGGAGAATAGCATCTTTGATCCACTTCCATCAGAATGCTTTAAAAAGATCATTAATACAACAAAGTCAAGCTGCAATTTCGATTACTATAAAAATACCAAGGCATTTTATAAGTCACTTGCCACCGAGTCAAGCCTGAGCGCATCTTTAACCTCTACGTTTACTTTGGGTGCTACTGTATCAGTGGCAACAAAGGGCAAAAGTTCAGAGAAAAGCGAAGTGAGTGGCATATCTTTGATCAAGCAGGCGTTGGCAGAAAAGATATACGTCGATAAAAAATGCCTCACAAGTGCCAAAACCTCCACCCTAAATGAAGAATTTATGGAATACTTAGAGGAGTTGCCATTAAAAATTGATCATCCTTGGTTTCCCAATTTTTGGGAAGAATATAAAACTTTCTTGGATAAATACGGCTCTCATGTCATAACGTCTGTGGAGACCGGATCAAGGTTCCAGCAAATGGTGTTCGCAGAGAGCTCTGAATCGTATAGCCAGAGAGATTTTCAGCTGAAAGCCTGTATCTTGGCTGCAGGCCCCACGAATGTTGGAAAGCTTAATGTTTCTGCTTGTTCTAGTGTGAATAGCAGTGAAGTATTAAAGGCAAAAAACATGAGCACTAGCGAGACACGGTTCGTCAGGGGAGGACTAAGGGATACAAATAGCGCGTTGACAAAGGGAACGTCGGCTGAACTGATTGAGAAACTCATGAATGAAGCTGACGAGGCACCTTCGCCTGTCCAGCATACTTTCAAACCGGTCTGGGAAATATTAAAAGATCGCTTCAAAACAGGATCTAAGAATCACATCCGAGCAACAATCCTCCAGTACTACTACAGTGGATACTTGGGTTATGGTTGTCTCTACAGTAAAAGCGGAGATGTTGAAGTTCAAAAGTTCGACTACACCAAACAATCAGAGAGTAAAAAACCAGAATTCGAATGTTCTCTCGCTAAGGAAGGTTGCCATAACGATGACGATTGTCATTATGTAATTGGACCCTGGTGTACTTGCAAAGGAAAAACGTGCGTTCGCTACAAGTCGGTGAAACAAATTACAGGTCAAACCAAACATACTGCATACATCAACAAACGAAAGTGGGACTGGAAAGGATGCGGTTGGAAAGTCGCGGGGTCATGGTGTACTTGCAAGAACAAATAATCAATGAAATGGTGAGTGCCTAATAAAGCTAAATGAAAAACTGGACTAATACAACAGTTGGCTATTGGATCAGAGTTGGACAGCTGTACTTGCAACATTTTGCGCACATTTAAGAGAAATGTTAAAATATAAATCCAGTTAAAATGTTAAAATAAAAGAAAGCGCATCTACGTGAGTCAAACGTATTCTTGTTAAGAGAAAAGGGGAAGAATACATTGAGAAAAAAAATATTCCGTAATCGCACACGTCGATGCCATGTCATTGGCTCTCGATCTGATGTCTGCTAAAAGGCTGACCACGGTGTCTCTTAATTTGATATGATAATTTATCACTTAATCTTCAAGGACAGATTTTGTTTTGATTCATTTGATTAAAGGAAAGTCACCTTCGGTCCGTTTTGATAACAGTCAGTTAAATAAAGAGTAATACATGGGCGCGCGTAGATATGGAATTTCTCTTCGAGTGTCTAACTCGATAGCTCACGAGTGAGCGCAGCGAACGAGTGAGACGTCGAGTTGAACACGAGAAGAAAAATTCCATATCTACATGCAACCATGTATTATTTTGTTTATCATATAAACACAACAGCCCTTTACTGAGAAGAAAAGCTGACTTCATCAATGAATGAAGATAAATGAATCGACAATCCCCGAATAACAATCGTAGAGTGCGTTAGCGCTAACTCTTAAGATGGAAAAATGCGTTGAATCATGATTATAAAAACAACAATGATCGTAATTTTGAATTTACAAAATTCTCATTTATTGACTTTGTAATTACCGACAGAAGAAGTCTTTCAGGTAAACGGCGAAAATCGGCCGGTGGCAAATCTTTCAATTGTAAATTTTATTCTCAGCCGGGAGAAATACTAACACCAAAGCCACTGAATATGTAACTTTCGGTTTTTCTTTTAGTATATTGATTTTCTTCCCCTTCTAAGAAAGTTTGAACCACACAATCTGTCAGCGATACGGATTTTTTAGGTTTTTAGTCGCCATAGTTCGAGAAAGCTCTGACAAATAACTTGTATTGAGAATCGTGAAAGCTTTGCCGTTCATTCATCAACCTGACCGAGTGGCGCTAAAGGCGAGTGACATATCAGCAGCTGATTGGCTATATCATCAAAATATTTTTTCACGTGTGTTGTTACGGCTTTTCTCAGAGCCGGAAATCCCTGTATAACACCGCAGTTTATGTGATAAATCAAATTCACCAACCTTTCATTTCCTGTATTGTCTCGGGTGATTTGACGGATTTGGTTTCCTCCTTTCCACCGACGCCCCTCCACAAATATCGAAATTCTCCAAAATTATCCCCCTGGCTCCTTCCAAGTTATTAAGAAATTGATGAAAATTAGTTATTAAAAAATTACCAGACCCTATTACCCACCTCTCAATACGCCGCTAGAAACAAAAGAAATGTTCTTTCCTATAACCCTGCACCTGTAATACCCTGAGATTTAGCAAACTTAAACATTCCAAGTATTAAAAAAACCTCGATATGACACATCTTATTTTCAGTTAATAGATTTTCCTTCCGTTCACTTTTTCATCACTATTTTCTCTACATTTTGAGTATCATACCTTTGCACAGTAAAAAACGGTTAACACCACCGTGGCATATACGGATCTGCTGCCTGACCTTCAAGTTTAAAGAAAGCTTTTGATATTACCATTACCGTTATCACCCTTATTATTGATTTTAGTGTTCTCATCATTGTTACTATCATCATCATTATCATAATAAATAGAGACTGAATAAGTTTTCCCGACATCGAACAATAAAGGTTATACGATTGCACCAGGCAGTTCTGCTGAAACAATTTTAACTGTTTAAAGAGGTTTGGGTGATTTCTTTCCTGAGTTCAATATTAGTATCGTCATTGTTAGATGATTATATATTTCACACGGAAAAAAAGGACTTCATCGGCAAGTTAAGGCTTGTCCAAATGTCGTTACTCAAAATTTGCATATAACGACAATGTAACCCGCCTGTTTTAGACTACTTTAGAAAGGTTGAAAGATGAGTGTGGAGAACAAATCACTGAACCAGCAAAACTTGTTTGAGAAACAAGATCCAACTCTCAACTTCATTCAACTGGTCTCGTTAAATGAATTTGCGGTGGGTTTAGAGGTTTGTTTCCGATAATAATTGTCGCACGCTATTACAAAGGTTTTTCGTGTTAAGCTCTAAAGCTGAGGTAAAATACCGAGAGACAGAACCTCAGGCCACACTCCGATATGCCGCTGGAAGGAAAAAAAAATGACCTTAGTTGAGCGCCTTGCACCTTAACCCAGACACTTATAGAACAAATATTAATGAACTTTTTTGATTAGCGTTGAGTGTTTCATTCAAAGTTTCAATTCCTTCAGTGTTACTTCTGATGAACCAATACTCAATCTATACGTCAGGCATGTAAGGTATTTCGGTGCCAAATTCAAGTCCATGTGAGGTCTAAGAAAGTGAAGTGGAAGGATTAACAAATAAACGAATGGATAGGGTCCCAATCCTTGTTTGAAAGCTATGGTATTATGATTGACCGAAGATCTCCAGGTCAGGTCTCACAGTTATCCTTATTAGACGGTTCTTTTATTCTAGCTTGTTTGCAAAATAATTTTTCAGAAGGTTAAAGCACAATGAAGAGGAAATAATAAGTAATTACGCGACAAAAAGATAAAAAACGTCCCTTAATCAGGAGGCTAGTTTAGGAATGGTCATTTCTTTCTCATCAGAAGATCTACTGCAATGTTTCTCATGCTTGAGCGCGCGCGCCGTTTCACTATACGCACTTTCACTATTGCTTCTGAGTTTCGCGTGGGTTTTAGAATTAACTGTCGTCAGATTTCATGTCACAGGTAAACTTAATCAAAGTGACATTATGGTAAACTCGTGGATAGACTGTGCAGAGTTCCACTTATTGTTCGTATTGTTTATTTTTCCGGATCAAGTCAAAGGCTGCAAAATAAACCGGACATTTAAATCTTACCCTCCTAAAAATGATCAAGTTCGTAAGGCGGGATCGTCAGTTGTTAAAATTTTGATAACTAAGTTAATCTGCGGAGCATTTCCGGTACAAAATCAGCCGTCATCCCCAATAAGACCCTCCCCGATTGATCCGCCCTTTTTAAACAATCCCTTCGCCGTCCTTAAAAAGACGCATGCTCTCCCCAGTCTCTTAAGGTCATGCTTGAGTCAAGAAATTTGCAAATCGAATCCCCATATCACTCCTTCCTATGCTTCGCATATCCTCGGGTAAAATATGGACGTCGGCTTTATTATTTTTATTGTCTGCTTTTATAAGCGCACTTTCAAGAAAGCGAGTCTCGGTACATGAATGATAAGTCACCTTCGTGTTAAGCCGCAGTGGTAGATGTATTCCCAACAAGCGTAAAAAACAGTCAGCAATTATTAGACAAGATAGAGGTTACTGTTCGGTCATCGAGTATTTTTTCACAATCATTTTCGGTCGGCGGGCAAGCGCTGCCTTTCAAGAATAAAGGCAGAAACGAAATAGTCTTACTCTCAGCAACTCAATGTATCCTGTCTGTATGCCTAAATTACATCGATGGCAAATTTCGTTCCCTATTTTTCTGCTGTTGACAGTTTGTTATTCTTAGACTCAAGACGGTTGATGAGGTAAAAATATTAGTCAGTCAGCAATCAACAAGTCCAATGATCTGTCCTGTGTCAAGACGATCGATATGGCAAAAATACTAGTTAGCAAGGGGTCTATATGTTCAATGATCTGTCGGGTATCAAGACAATTGATATGGCAAAAACACTGGTTAGCAAGCAGTCTACATGTACAATGATCTGTCCGGTATCAAAACTGTTGATATGGTACAGATACGAGTTGGCAAGCAGTCTATATATCTTAATGATCTGTCGGGTATCAAGACTGTTGACAAATGCCAAACAATCAGTCCAGTGATCTGTCGGGTGTCTGAACAAATCCGTAATTTCTTCCTGATACCGAGATTTTGACATGGTAAGCTAAATGCTTAATCCGAAATAGTACAGAAATAGTAACGTAAATGGGTTTTTATACACAACAGACATCAGGAGGCTTGACACACTGCTAGATATAGAACTGTAAGAGCGATAATGCGTAAAATGGTTTAGCTTGGAGGAGCTTTGCGAAGTTCTCAAAGACAATTATCACTAAATTTCAATAATCACTTTATAATTATTATTTTAAAAAAAAACTGAAAAATTGTTGTTCCTGACATCATAAGTTATTATCATTATTATTACTTTTATTATTATCACTATCGTCATAAATAATGAATAGTGCTACTAAGATTTTCCTAAGCAATAACTCTACAATGAAGTCGATATTGAATAAAATGTTGTTCAGTTAATTTAAACTTTAAATGTCTTTATTTCACAGATTTGTGCCTTCTCGCAAGTATTAAGAGAGAGAGACACTCTTCAAGTAGGGAACCATGTTTGTCTCCCTGACACTGTTGCTTTGCGTGACCCTCGCATTTTCTGAAGCCACTAAAGCTACCACTAGTGAATTAGAAGGGCTTGGAAAAGTAATATTCCTTCCAAAGATAAATTTATTGGCCGACTTTCATGAAAAAGACAATCGCATCTTTGATCCTCTACCATTAGATTGCTTTACCAAGAAATCCTTGTAGTCCTCAAGCCGCAATTTCAATTATTATAAAAGTACCAAGGAATTGTTTCAGTCACTGGCGACCGAGTCAAGCCTGACCGCCTCGTTAACCTCTACGTTTACTTTGGGCGCTACTTTATCCGTGGCAACAAAGAGCAAAAGCTCAGAGAAAACTGAAGTGAGCATATCTTTGATCAAGCAGGCGTTGACAGAAAAGATTTACGTCGATAAAGAATGCCTTGTGAATGACGAAAAGTCCACACTCAAAAGAGGATTCTTGGACTATTTAGAGAACTTGCCATTAAAGATTGAGAAAGCGTGGTTTCACAATTCTTGGAAAGAATATCGTACTTTCCTGAAAAAATATGGCTCCCATGTCATAACATCTGTGAAGCACGGATCAAGATTCCAGCAAATGGTGTTCGCGAAGAGTTCTGAATCGTATAGCGAGAGAGATTTCCAGGTGAGAGCCTGTGTCTCGGCTGCAGATCCCACGTCCGTTGGAAAGCTTGGCGTTTCTGCTTGATCTAACGTAACCAGCAGTGAAAAATCCAAGGCAAGTAAGATGAGTGTTAGCGAGACACGGTTCGTCAGAGGAGGACTAAGGGCAACGAATAGTGAGCTGGCAAATGGAGAAACGTCAGTAGAACTGATTAAGAAACTCATGAATGAAGCTGATGAGGCACCTTCGCCTGTTCAGCATACCTTCATGTCGATCTCGAGCTTATTACAAGACCGCTTTAAACCAGGGTCTAAGAATTATGTCCGAGCAACAAACCTCGAGTACTACTACAAAGGATACTTGAATTATGGTTGTTACTATGATAAAACCAATGGTGTTGAAGTTCAAAAATTCGACTACACCAGCAGATCGCGTGAAATATATCCAGAATTCGAATGTTCCATCCCTGAAGAAGGTTGCCGTAGCGACGATGATTGTCACTACGTGGTTGGTGTCCGGTGCACTTGCCGAGGAAAAACGTGCGTTCGCCACAAGTCGGAGGAACAAATCACAGGGAGTTGCAAGGAAACTGCATATATGAACAAGAAAAAATGGGACTGGAAAGGATGCGATTGGGAAACCAAGTGGTTTAAGTGTGGTTGCTACAATGAAGATCGCGATCAATGAAAGGTTGTGTGGTCCTTACCAACCACTTCGAAAGATGCTGGTAAACATAAAGGACCTAGCAACGGAACCTACCACGAAGCAAAGGATCCAGTTACAGGTCAAGCGGAAGGAACGGAAACACCTAACACAGCTGTATCAATCACCACAAGGTAAAACATCTGAAATGGTGAGCGCCTAATTAAGTAAAAGAAAAACTGGACTTATGCAACGGTTGGCCATTCGATCAGAGATAGACAGCTGTACTTTAAACGTTTCGCGATAAGTTAAGTGGAATGTTAAAATGCAAATCCAGTAAAAGTGTTCAAATAAAAGAGAGCGCATCTATGTGAGTTAAAGATATCCTTGTAAAGGGGAAAGGGAAAAGAATACATTTGGCATAAATTCTCAAAAGATAGAACTATTGTTTCCGTCTTAAAAACGTGTCACTGAGGATCATGTCAACTTAAGCCAATGAGAGTTGCACGTTTGATATTGATTGTGAACATTTTTGCCGTGATTTTCCCCGATTTAAAATTTAATATGATCGATAGCGAGCTAAAAAGAACGTTTAGAGAGTGGTTGTCCAATACCACGGCTAGTAAGGAGTCGTAAAACTGAGTTGTCGATCTGCACAATCCGTATGGATCGAGTGATGTATTCAAGAGTCGTATGATCCCTATGAGTCGTAAGGTTGAGGGAGATTTTTTTCCCCCAAGCGAGTGCCTGTCTGGCCATAGTGGACTGTGTCGACTCGAACAATCCGGACAATCCATACAGATATTCACGATTTGCACGACCCGTGAATATATTGTCCTCTAATGTATTAACAGTTCATGCTGTCGTTCCGTAAATTTCACCAATTAGACTAAAACGTCAAAACGTGAGTGTCTATCTGGCCATGGTCGTGTAATGTGTTTACGAGTCGTACGACCCGAACGGGTCATGCCGTCGTTCTATGATCTCATTAGGGTACCGGGGTTTTGTCTGCCTGGCCAGATGATGTATCCGAACGGACCCTCCAATATATTCACGAGTCGAGAGAGATAGAAGGGTACCCTGAACGAGTTGAGTTGTCGAATCGTTCGATTCATGGATAGGAGTAACGACTCGTTGCCGAGTCGCAAAATGTATTTCATCGGTGGCACTTACAATATAGCGTGAGGGTCGCAAGAGAAGGGTGCACTATACGATTTGTCAAATCATTTGATCCGGGCGAATCAAGGATACAAGTGACAACTCATATTGACCTCTATATTTTCTTTGCTGCGTGAGTTATGAGTGTTGTTCAAAATATGAAGAAGTCAGGACGTGTAATTCTTCACTGCCTGAGCTTAAAGAACGACGCAAACACATATTGGCCTTGCTTGTTTGTTTTGCTGCGACTCATGAATAAACAAGATGACCAGTGCGAGTGGCACGACTCGTGAGTACATTAGACGATCTGCACAGATCGTTAAATCGTCTTAGCCAAACTAAAGTGAATACAAACTTAACATTTGTTATCAATGGCCAAGAAGGACATCAGAGTCATTTGTTGTAAAGATGGAAACAAAAAAAAAATCCAGCATACTGATAGAATACGCTCCGTGTAAGACATATGTATTACACTATACAGCCATTTCACCTGGTCAAAACCATTTATTTAAATACAAATACAAAATTGGCCTTGACGGTCATGCAAAATCTGTCCCCTCTGTAAATGAACCTATGACTGTAAATAATTAAACACTTCAAATGATTCCCAACTTGAACTGCAAATAACCCTAGTGGAGGATTACAAACGATCCTGAAACTGAAACGACCAGTATTCCTTTTTCGTGAAGTTCTTCAAACAGCTAATTCATACAAAAAAGTAATTAAATAAAAAAAGAATCTAAATTAGAGAAAGGAAGCAAAAACTATTTTAAAATATTTTGCATTCGACAGGGGACGCTTTTTAGTTTAACTACGAACGAATTATTATTATTATTATTATTATTATTATTATTATTATTATAATCTTTATTTAAGCACGAAACAATTCATCAGCAATTACATTAACTAAAACTATTTAAAAATTAAAACACTAACTAATAACTAAAAGCTGTTTTCCGTGAATGCCGTGCGTTATAGAGTGGCATTGATCTTGCGTTTAAATAACCCCAGAGACTCTGTGTTCCTTATATCACATGGAAGACTATTCCATAATGTGGCTCCACTATAGCTAAAGCTTTTTCGATAATAGTTAGTGCGAGGTAGAGGAACATTGAGTTTATTTTCAGAGTCCCTGAGGTCATAAGCAGAGTTACGCCATCTAAACTTAGAATTAAGATATTCAGGAGCTAGCCCGTGCAGACATTTGAAAACCATGGTAACTCTATGAATTTCCTGCTGGCTTGTCAGATTTTTCCAACTTAAAAATTCAAGTAGCTTAGTTGCATCGGCATCATAGCTGGAAAATGTCAAAACACGGGCTGCTCTAATCTGTAATTTCTGCAGCTTATCTCGTAGCGTTATCCCACAGCTACCCCAGACAATGTCACAGTAATCAAAGTGAGGTTTTACTAAAGCTTGGTAAAGCAGATGTAAGGTCGATGCTGGGATCAGATGCCTGACTCGCTTTAGGCACCCGATACCAGAGGCAATCTTTTTTGTTAATTTTTCGATGTGACTATGCCAATCGAGCCTATCGTCTATAATCACACCAAGCGATTTTGTAGAAGTAACCTGGCTCACCTGAGTGCTGTTCATTCTAATTGTTGGTGAAGCTGTGAGAGTACCCAGTCTCTGCCTTGACCCTATTAGCATGAATTCGGTATTTGTCATATTCAGTGTGAGTTTATTCGCTTGTAGCCAGTTGAAAACGTTTGTTAAGTCCTCATTCAGACAAAGCTGTATACTCTCAAGATCACCGCCCGCATATGTAAGGTGTTTGTCGTCAGCATACATCCTCGGCTCACAATTTGATAAACAATTTGGAAGATCGTTGATATATAATAAAAACAATAGTGGACCGAGGAAGGTCACCTGGGGGACGCCGCAAGTTAATGAGCAGCTGCTGGACAGCGACCCGTTCACAGAACATTTCTGTGTGCGGTTTTCAAAGTATGACTGAAACCATTTGAAAGATTTGCCATGTATACCATAATAGTTTAATTTCGATCTGATGATCAACAGTGTCAAAAGCTTTTTTCAAATCTAGAAAAATGACTCCATTGATTTTCCCGTTGTCAATATTATATGCCCAAGAATCTGTCGCTTCCAACAATGCTGTTACAGTTGAATGAGTAGCACGAAACCCTGATTGATTTTGATATAGAATATCATGTTCTTCCAGATAGGCATACAATTGATCGTAAACTATCCTTTCAAACACTTTCGCCACTATTGGAATCACCGATATTGGGCGGTAATTGTTGACATCATCGCGGTTACCCTGTTTAAAGAGAGGTGTAACCCTTGCATATTTCCAATCATCTGGGAACTTCCCTTGGCTAATAGATTGATTGAAAATATCACATATCGGCACACAAATAAGGTCAGCGCATTCCCTGACAAACCTAGCAGATATTGTGTCAAGGCCCGTTGCTTTTGACTTGTCTAGTTTATTTAAAAGTGAAAATACTTTATTTGGATTAGTAGGTTGGAGCTCAAACCGTTTATCTGTACCGGCAAGATATCGTTGATAGCTACTACTATCACAATCTATCTCACTGGCAAGTTTTGGACCAATATTAGCAAAATGGTTGTTGAATTCGTTTGATAGCTCCAGTGGATTAGTTATCGTTAATCCATTCACTTTTAGTGATGTCACTGACATTTTCCCAGATTAACGTGAAGTTAGCTCGTTTATAGTCTGCCAGGTCTTTCGGGAGTCGCTAGTGTGCTTGTTAAAAATATTTTGGTAATAAACTTGCTTTGCTAAGCGTACTTGCTTATTGACTAAATTTCTTTGTTTCTTAAACACTGCCCAATCGTTGGGATCATTTGTTTTGATTGCTTTGATTTTTAATATATCTCTATTATGCATCAAGTCTTTCAACTCAGCGGTAATCCACGGAGAACTTCGTGAACGAACGCGCATCGTTTTCAGTGGGGCATGTTTGTCAGCGATAGCTAGAAATGTACATTTCCATTGCTGCCACATCTCGTTTGGGTCGGAAGACTCATATACATTATTCCAACATTGAGACTGAATATCATCTCGAAAATTTTGGCAATCGAATTTTCGGAAATTTCTGTATGTTATTGAATTATGTCCATTCGACATCCCGTTCAGAGCAAGTTTTCTATAAACATACACCATGCTATGATCCCTTATCCCAACATGACAAACTCTCGAACAGGCGATCTTATCCGAGCAGTTGGTGTAAATTAAATCAATTAAAGTTGACGAGGTGGGTGTTGTCCTCGTCGGTTCAGCGATGAGTTGCTCGAGTCCGTAAACATCAGCAATATTCTTTAATTTGGATGTATCATTGTCATATCGTGCAGTGACCATGTCACAGTTCATGTCTCCCAGTACAAAAAATTCTACATTTTCACTATCCAATTTCCCAATTAGGGATTCAAAAGGTGAAAAAATGCCAATAGGAGAGTCAGGTGGTCTATACCACGTAACAATCACAAAAGGTCTTGTTTTTGGCTTATGGATTTCCAAGCAAAGATTCTCTAATGCATCCATATGTAGATCAGATCGTACTGTAAAGTTGATTGAATTTTTAACGTAGAAGCATACCCCCCCGCCGCCTTTCGTAAGTCTATCGCGGCGAATTATTTCGTATCCCGGAATATGAACTTCGTGATCTTGAATGCTCTCGTTCAGTTTTGTTTCGTTTATAGAAATAATATCGATATCGTTGTTTGCTAATAGGATTCTTAGTTCGTATCATTCTCAAGCGAAAAAGGTTATGTTCGTTCTCGACTAGGCTAAGTGTCAACTGAGGATCGTTTGTTATGGGATGATTCTCGCTCATCTCTCGAGTCCGCTTTCGCTTCCCCCAAAGACGCGAAGAAGGAACATGGGTTAATGAGTTTTCCAAACAACGGCTTCATTTCCTTAAAAAAAACGTAAAGAAAACATATGCCTAGGAACTAGTTCTTGGTACTTGCATATTCTTATATGCTGTTTGGCGACATTAAGTCGCCAAGTTACGCCTACGCGCGTCATTTAACTCCTCGGAATTTTATTCCTTACTTGTAGTCTTTACAGAAAGGCCGCCTTTTTCAAGAGTCTCATGAAATTTTAAGTATCAGCGCTAACGCAATGTGACAAATGTTTATGATGGATCCGGCAACCCACTTGATTTCGGCTTTCTGCCAAAATCAAGTGGGTTGCCGGATCCATCGAATAGTGATGGAGCAAAATTAGTGGCAATTAACCCCTCTGGTAAAATCGATATGGCAAACAAGTTACGGCTGCGCACTTGGTCGCCTTCGGTTATTCATTAGAGTTCCCCGATCAACAAGGCAAAACTTACTCTAAGAGAACGACGAACTGTTGGAGTTTTCAAAATTGAGCCTTTTGACATAACAGCTCCTTTTTTAACTATGACTCCTAAATTAAGCTTGGTTTGTGATCTCTAAAGCCCCATGAATCCTACCTAATCGACAAGTGACAGATATTGCGGTGTATTGGGAAAGTATCTATTAGGAAAGTATCGAGATGAATCTCAGCTTTAGTTCATTTAGGTGTTTATCTGTAATCATGCAACTTGTTCAGATTACTATTTACCTAAATCTAACTGTATGTAAGTTTGTGAATGGAGTGTTGGTTTTTTAAATCGGCAGTTGGTAATTTTAAGAATTTTTTAGGGTAAGGTACCGAATCCGATCCTACCGACGTGTCGGCCGATACACTACAGGCCGAGCGGAAGAAATGAAATATAGGCAACTAGTTTCCAACGAGTTTCTCTTTCTATGAATGAGAAGTATCAGTAGTGTGTCGGAGGTGCGTCTCCCTCATCTTGATTTAGTCTGTTCTTGTTGCTGATTTAACATGCTTTTGTTGCCGATTAATCTGCTGAAGTGAACAAGTAATAATGGTTTCTGATTTCACTCCTTCCCGCTCGGCCTCGGTAGTATGCCGGTCGACACGTTGGTAGGACCGGATTCGTTTCCTTACCCGAATTTTGGGTGTCAATCTTTAGAGACATTCTAATTTTCGGCCTAAAGACCTTAACATCATTACTCTCCCTCAAATGTCTTCATTATTTACACATTATGGAAACGATACTGCCTGACCTTTTGAAATGGTCAAAAACACAGGGTCATTCAGACAGTTTTGCCAATATTTTCTGATTTGTCATTTTTTTTTAAATATAAATATTTGACTTGCACAGACAGTTTCAACAAAATATAGATATGAACTGTATGTGGTTAGGACTAAGCCAATTTTAAAAAAATTGCTGAGGGAAACAATATACTTCAAACTCGAAAGATCAATTTTTTTATTACTCCCAAAACGTTACGTATTAAAATAGCACTTCGCAAAGAACGATATCTAAGCCTCGTAAACTTTTGAATCTACCGCCTTTTCGAAATCTTTCCCCAGGTGTTTTCTTTTGTTTTGACCTCTTTTTTAGGCGACGAAGGCGTATAGTTGCTGGAAACCCTGAAGTCCACTATAACCAAAACTGACCTGGGCCACATTCCAATTAGCCGCTGGAGGAAAAAAACCACCTTATCAAACCCTAAGAACATAAAAACAAGCTTAAACCGTTCAACACTTATTTGATTTCGATACCGAAACAACTTAAATGTATTTAAATAGAATAAGAGAGATGGCAAGTTGTGAGCTCGGTAAAGAAATAGAGAAAGATGTCTTTAGTCTTGTCGAGAGTGTGGGACTAAGATAAAAATTCGGATTCCCCACGAGGAATCGAACCTCAGACCTGAGCCTGGACTCTATTACGAAGACACGCGTCCTACATACTGTTAGGATCAGCAATGTCGATAGCGTCATCTTGATAAATAGAATAAGACAGATGGTAAGTTTTCAGCTCACGCTGGTGACATGACGAAAAACATCTTTATCTAACTTAAATGTAGTTTTAATGTTTCATTTCTTAACCATTTTATCCCTATTTTCTATACGTTTTGACTATTAGTATAGGTAATCACATGATTTCGAGCGCAATTTGGAATAAGCACGAGTAAATTTTTTCAAAGAGTAACAAAATTGCATGAGCTCGTAGGGCGAGTACAATTTTTAGTCTCTGAATAAATTAACAAGTGCTTATTTATTCCAAATTGCACGAGGAAAATCATGTGATTACGTATTAATAATATACATGAAAAAATACGAGATAGCTGATCACAGTTATGCAGAAGCAAAGCACACGCATCAAGTGCAAAAATAATGCTGGGTCAGCTCGTAATTTTCGATTTCCTTGGCAATTCCCTTCTCTAATCACCACTTTTTCCAAACCGACAACCGAGCTTAGAGCTGTTTTTCAGCTGCTGTATTGTTGTTGCGGTGGCGAAAGAAAACCTTCTTAAAACGCCGGCAAATGCTTCCCTCGCAAATTTTCAGCATATCCAATTGTTGCGATATCCAAGGCTCGCATGCGATTTGCTATCTGTGAGTTTCTTTGATTATTGACCAATCAGAATGTCTGGTTTGTTACTTCTTTGCACTGAATTAACCCTCTTCTGCATTGTATTACAAGAAAACTGCATTAGTCTTAACCAATCAGAACTGAGTAATTTTTTCATTTATACTATTATACTTGTAATGACCAACGGTCCACACTAGCTGTTGTCTATAAGATCCGCCGATTCGTCTTCAAGTTTAAACAAAGCTTCTATTACCATCATGACAGTTTTCATTCTTGTAATTATTATAAGTACCATCATCATCATCATCACTGTGACTATCATCATTATCATTATCATAATGAGTATAGACTTAGTAAGATTCCCTGATACAAAAACAGGGAAGAGAAGATTCTCTTTTGACTTAAACTTACTTTCTAATCAATCTAAAAGTTCCTCGCATTCGTTCAACTTTTGGACCGTTTGAATAATCGATAGGGTGAACTTACGAAAAGGTTGACCCTTGGCGTGAAATCCATTAACTTAACTGAGTATAGATGCCTACCTGTTCGCTTTCTTTTAATCATTTAACTCATCCGGTTACTAAGTTACCTACGCTTTTGTCAGTTAAGGTTGCTGTTTAACAAAACAAGGTGTTTTCCGGAAAAATCGTCCTACGCGCGCTACTTTTAAAGAAACCATGGAAAACTATATATCACTATAAAGCTTTATAAAGAACAGATTAAAATTCACAAAAGTTCCCAAAAATTTTGTTTGGGTTGGCGCATGCTAGTTTTTAAGCTCAAAACCGACAGTGTTTGCTTCACTGAATTACCAGCTTTTGCGTTCCTGCGGACCTCCAAAAAACATAATAGGCTAACAAAAAATTGACTCCTTTTTTAATATTCTTTTTAGTTCCTGAGAACATCGATTTTGAAGTTGGACAACACAAAATGTTTTGGTTCTTGTTATCCTCTGGGACGTCCAAAGAGAAATATTTCGAATTTCGTAAAAGCCTCAAATACTTTGGGGTGCTAAAAACTGCCGAAAATTCTGGCCAATTTTCATAAATATCCAACATACCCTATTAATTCGTTAGAGAAGTAGTAACTCACCTTTCAATGCGGTCATGCTGCCGACCAGTGAAACGCAACATCGAAACCCTGGCAAGTTTCGCGAAAAAGAAATCCTTTGATATTCCCGGAAACAGAACGAAAATTGGACAAAGGAAGCTTGAGAAGAAGAAAAACTTAATTTCGATTTCTTAGGCCTAGGATCTCTCGCGACTATTCTCTTTCTAGCTGTTTTATGAATGCTCTTAATACTAAACGTTTAGCGAAATGTGCCCGAAATTCCCTTTGGTTGTACAATGCAATACGCGATGTAAATAAAATATGCAAATCTAGATCCCAAACGAAAGCCCGCGGAAAACGTCAACATCCCGCAGGAAGCCTTTCCGGTTATGACACCTTTCGCTCCACGGTACTAGTTCCCTTGTTCTTTCAGCCGTATATTCCGTTCGTTGAAAGATTTTGTCATTTTTTCGACAAATTAAACTTAACTGCGTTCTCCAACTAAAGAGAAAGAACACCAAATTTAAAAAAATTTGACTAGATTTTGTCGACAATAACCCAAAGTTTATCACTCATCACAGTTTACAGAATCTAGCAGGAAGAGCGTCCTGAAGGAATCCTCTCTATTCGGTAGGTAGATAGCAACGATACATACTTGAATAACGGTACTCTTGTCTTAAGTTCCCTTTGGTTGTGCCATACGCAATATAAATAAAATATGCAAATCGAGATCCAAGACGAAACCCCGCGGAAAACATCAGCACCCCGCTGACGCAAATATCCCTGTGACCTATGACCTCTAAATGAAGCTCAGTTCTAGCATAAAAACCAAACAAATCTCATCACATTTTACAGACTCTAACAGACAAAGCATCCTGAAGAAATTGACTCCATTTCGGTAAGAAGATAGCAACACCACATACTTGAATAACGGCGCTCTCGTCTTAAGTTCCCTTTGGTTTTACAATGCGATACGCGATGTAAATAAGATATGCAAATCGAGATCCCAGACGAAACCCCGCGGAAAACGTCAACACCCTGTTGGAGGCCTTTCCGATTATGACACCTTTCGTTCTACGGTACAAGTTCCCTTGTTCTGTCAGCCGTATACCGCGTTCTTTTAAAGATTTTCCCTTTTTTTCGATACACTAAACTTAACTGCTTTCTCTGACTAAACAACAATCGAAATTTTGAAAAGTTTGACCCGATTTTGTCGGCAATAACCTAAAAAGAGTTTTCTTTCAACCTCTGAGCTGCCTACATGCAAAAATTC